AAGATGCATGTTTTTCTCATCAGTTGTACTCAGTTATTAACGAGGCTTTCCAATAGCAATGATGAAAAAACTTAAAATGGAAGAAGATAGGTGTCTTTACAGGAAGTGTTCATGGCTAGCTGTGCAACGGCTTCTTAGGGGACAGTGGCTTAGAAAGGAAGGAGTAAGGAGTTTGGAATGAAAAAGGTTTCACTCCAGCTCTACCACCTGGCTGCTTGCCTGGGTCCCAGTTTGTTTGGTTTTCTTGTCCCAAAATGAGAATAGTGTATTCACCATGCAGACAATGAGAAAATATACATAAAGTTCCTATCACAGTACCTGAATATAGTATATGATCAATAAGCAAAGTAATTATTATGAATGCAGAGTCAGACCAGATGATCTTAAGGATTAAGTGGCATTCCTACTCTGAGATTCCAGGCTTCTCAGTTCTAACTTTTTTGAGGCTTCCTCTACTGAAAAAATTTCCCAGTCACAATGTGTTGAGTGCTTCTAATGTACAAAGCACCATGCTTCAAGGAATATTTTTGATAAATAAGGGGGACTTTGGTAATCTATTTGATACACTTCTACTAAAACTGTTCCTCAAGTTAAATAAGTGGGAACCACCCAAAAGGCCCTATCAAAAGCAGGCAACAGCCTCTGATAGTTTGCTCCCCAGAAGATAACTCTGAATTAGGTTTAATACAACGTGAGGCTTTGTAGAAAGATAACATAAGTTCTCATCAGGAGACAGGAAGGACAGACTTTCGAGAAATAACTCCAAGACTGAGACCACCATCCCAGGTCAGGGAAGCCATGGATGGGACTGAAGAACCAAGCACATGGGCAGCTCTCTCCTGAGTTTAGGGAGTGTGTGCCAATAGACGGCAAAACCCCCAGCCCCCTGCCCCCGAAACCTGAAAGGCAGGAACAAGGAGTCCACCCTGGACCTGGGAGAGGACAGAGGCAGGCAGGACAGACAAAGGCAATGGACCGTGGAGTAGAGGTCAGTTCACTGTTTTGGTCACCGATGCTTTCAGTCAATGTATTGATTTCCCCCCATATCCCAACATATTACAACATGCTATTTATAAATTACCTCCATGTAGTACTACACAGAAGTATATCAGAAGAACCTTCACAGAGTACAGGTGTATACATCAAGAAGGATGAAATCTACTTAAACAGAAGTTGCAGTATTTTATTCTTCACCTTAGTCTTCTTGTGCAGCCACGTTGGAGACTACTGGTAGGAAAAAAGGTGAACCTGCTGAGGTTGGGGAAGGCGCCCTTGACACTCGGTATGGACATTTAAAAGACAAAAACCTCCTCGACAACTTTTCCTTAGCTTTTCTTCTGAAAAGCAGGCTGTCACCACATCAGTAAACAGAAACATTGCTAGATAAGCGTATGATCCCTCAGCTCTCTCTCCAGCTCCCAGCCTTCTCCCTGGCTTTAGATCACGCTTTTCCCCAAAGGCGGCCAAAGACAGTCATTCCTTGAGCCATAAGGTTTTCCGCCCTTAGGGAGCGCAGACCCTGTTGCTGGGTTGTGACTGCATGTGACCTGCAAGAGTATGGTTTATAATATCGCAGCTCTTTTTAATTTGGAAAAAGGGGAGCATTTTGTTTAGAGCGTATATTCTGAGAGGGATGACCCTACAGAGTTGTCTTTATGGAGACTGAGTACAATTAACCACTAGGTCCACAGCAGGTTTTTTGTTCGTTTGGTTGATCAGTTTTTCGCTACATTGATTTAAAAATTATCTCCTCTGAAAACAAATTTATGATTAGTGAATAAAACGCCATGCTTTACAGAATTTTCCTTATCAAACAACATCAAATTTATTGTGGCATTTTTATATATGTTTCCTTTTATTACTGTAGAGAGCAACATAAATACTGTAAACCCGTAGCTGGTCTAGAAGAAATGGCCCAAGCAGACTAGACTGGGAAAAGCTTTTGTTCAGTTTGCCACAGTTCACATCTGACGGCATTCTGCAGCCAGGACCCAGTGTACAGAGTTTCCACAGAGCTACCAAAAAGGAACACATTTGTGGGCTCAGTTTGACAAGCTCTCCTTTGGGAGAAATAGCTGGTTTCTGCCTCTCCGTTGCTGGCACTCACTTTCCCGCGCATGCCTGGTGACTCTGCTCTGAAGAACCCTGTAGTGGGTAATGGTGTCCTTAGACAGGCCTTATCTCGCAACGCCCCTTCAGGGAATGGCAGCCAGCCTGTTGCTTCTATCTGTGTAGCCAGGCCCAGCAATGGGAACGTGGTTTTCACTGACAAGAGGTAGTCTACCAGGACAAACTGCAAAACCCAGCCTGTGTAGGATTCGGGGGATGTTTTTTACATTTCAGTTTTGGTGGTGCATGCCTGTAATCCCACTGCTCAGGAGCTGAGACAGGAGGATCGCCAGCCTGGGCCACATAATGGGTTCAGGACCAGCCTGAACTACATAGCGAGACCCTCAAACAAACAAATGAATAAATATTCTACAGATTAGTTGTAATTAAGGAAAAGTCATAATACTGTATGCTTCCTTTTATAATGGAAACACTTTATACTTATAATAGTTTTGCTGTTTCTTTAGTTCTTTTTATATAGTTTTTTTTTGTTTGTTTGTTTTTGTTTTTGTTTTTCTCCGGTACCAGGAACCGAACTCACGACCTTGCACTTGCCAGGCAGGTGCTTTGCCGCTGAGCTAAATCCCCAGCCCCTTTTTATATAGTTTGGTCACAGTATAGTAGGGAGAGCTGCCCAGCCTGTGTATCAGAGCGTTTTCACCAACACCACTCTCCATGGCATCAGCTAGGTTTGTAGGCTCAGGGATTCTTGAGAAAAAGGCAGAGACCACAAAGACTTTCTGAAAGACAAAATGCCATGGCAGATTTTTTTCACCTTATAAAATATGGACTCTTTAAAAGAATAATTTTTACATACTCACTTACAGTCAGAACTCCACTATTTTTCTTGAAGTGAACTATTGTATTTTCCCCAATTATGTAAGTGAGCTGATTATGCAACTAAGAGGTTACTGAATGTAGGAATTATTATAAGAGCAACACTTTTACAGGTTTCAGCTCAAGTTGTTTGTGGAAGGGGTATGAATAATTTTCTGGTCTGCCCAGAATTCAGGTTTATCATTCCATGGCTTTAATTAAATGCCGAATCTTAAGCACTTTTACAAATTAGCATGGATCCTTACTCCAGATGTGAAGGAAATTATATTTCACTTTAAAGCAACAAGACCATAGACTGGAAAAATCAGAAAACACTAAAACAAGAAAATGAAAAACCCCTTTTTGAAAATCTGTTAATCAGGAATGTGTGATGGGTTAGAAAGGCACAAGACCAAACTGTACCTTTGGCCTAATTGTGTAAGAGTTTGCCAAATCAATTACCAGTGGAAAACATTTCAGAGAGAAGCTGAAACTTCAAAAAGACTGTTAAGTAATTCTAGACACTTACAATACTGAATGACATCTTAGTTATAAATAATTTTTTTTTCTTTTTTCTTTTTTTTTTTTTTTGTCTTCATGAGACAGGGTCTCTCTATGCAGTTCAGGCTGGCCTTGAGCTCACTTTGTAACCCAAGCTGGTCTCAAACTTGTAATGATCCTCCTGCCTCAGCCTCGAGAGTGCTGGGATTACAGGAGTGCTCCACCACGGCCAGCTATAAATAATTCTTACCCATGCTTAAATCCATCTTGAGCCTCTACTAAGTCTTCCTTAACCTACTTATAGGATTTGCTATAGTGATGAAAGTAGCCTTTCATTTTAAAAATGAAAATGAGATGAATTTTCAAATGAAGATTGAACGTCTTTCCCTCAATCACACTGTCCTTCCTCGCATTTCCTTTTAGCACTGCAGGTCCCTGGATGTGCAAAATTAATAGCTGAAATCTAAAGCAGCCCGCCTGCATTCGGAGCCTTCTCTGAGCACTCAGAATGCACTTTATGGTCAATGATGTTTCAGTTTTCTTTTCTGTAATGTTGGAAAATAATACTTAGAAGATTTTTTAAAGCACTTAGTGTCCAACCCCTTGATGTTAAGTGTACCACAGGCCAGAGGTGCAAGTTAGGCTGTTACACCACCAGGCCATTACTGACACTTGGGTGACATGGTGAACAATTCCGAACACATGGATTTTTAGCCCCTCGTTTTTGTCACACCTCAGGGCACATTTTCAAGCAACGGTACATCACGAACACTTGGATTCCTCAGTCCTCTTTTCTCCTGGCCTCCAGGCACCCAGCCTCGCCTGCCAGGTACTTCTGGTTAATCATACCCAAGCTGATCCAAGTTTTATCCAAGTCACCCCCTCCCTGCTTCTACAAAATGATCTGCATTGCTCTTCTCAGTTCTGGCTGGAATGCACCAGCTCCCTGAGAAGTCTTCCCTCATCAGCACGCTCCCCGGACTCCGGCACCGCTCCGGTTCGGATTCCCTTCCTAATAAATTTCTCAGATCGTTGGAGTCTTTCTGAATCACCTTGGCATCATCGGGAATTTTTCATTAAAATGTGGGCTTTGTCCAGCCCCATGCTGAGCTACCGGGCTAAATTTCTACATACAGATACAAGAAGACCGGCGAGCCGCGGCTCGAGCGGCCAGCTCGGAGACGGTTCGTATGGACAGGACAAGGGCGAGGGAAATAGGATAGTGACGCACCTGAATATGTCCGCTAGAGGAAAGGCGATAAACTAAGGCTTGATGTCGTGCGGGGAATGAGATGCTGACACACACGGCACACACAGATGAGGGAGGCAAAGGGAAGCGGCACCAGGTGTCTGACGGTGTCACGGACCCATCGGACCGGGTGCCCCCCCCCCGGGCGCGGCGCCCCCTCCCCCGCAGCCCGCGCTGACTGTCAGCGCATCCCTCCGCCCTGCCCCGCTCGGGCGCGCCGGGCCCGCCCCTCCCCCGCGCCGCGGCTCCCTGCCCCCCGCGAACGCGCTCCCCAGTGTCCTCTAGAACGCCCGCGCGCCTGTCGGGTTTCGAATCCCGGCTCCGACCCTCGCCCCGGCGCGCGGCCGGCTGGCGGGCCGGCTCTCGGACCCCGCATCAATCATTAACGGGTCTGCCCGGGCTGCGGCGGCCCCAGGAGGGGGATGGTACGGAACTCTAGCCCGGGGACAACTCCATCCCCCGCGGCGGCCGCGAAACCCTAGCCGGGAGGGCCCCCGCCCTTCCCCG